CCCCTGTTCAGAACCTCTTGCGTACAAGGCCGCCCACGTGGATGTAGGTTGAGCGGCGGCTGCCCCCACCCCCGTGTGTCATATCGACCCACTTGCACACAGCCAAAAGGCAAAGAGGCAAAGAAAAGAGGAAGGGAACAGCCAAATACATCAAAACAGGGGGAAACAAACATAAACCAATCCTAGATGACAAGTCCCACATGCAAGCACCGCCCCCACCACCAGGGCCAAACAACGGGACAAGACCAACCAGGATTCAAGAACACCCTTGCCTGCAAACAAACAATCCCAGATAACATATATATATATCGTCACAAACAGAACTGCCCGGTAATATATATATCGTCACAAATAGAAATATATATATATATATATCCCACGCCATAAAATCACCCACACCTCTGAAAATGATCAGCGCAATCAACATGGGTGTTCATACAGAAAGAAACAGTCCGATCCATACGCGTAGAGAGGATCTGATCCATTCAAAACCTGTATAACCTACCTCTCTCTCTCTCTCTCTCTCTCTCTCTCTCTCTCTCTCTCTCTCTCTCTCTCTCTCTCTCTCTCTCTCCACACACACGACAGATTGCTTCCTGTCGATGGCTGTTAGGGGAAAAAAGGAGTTCGCTCTGCGCACTGTCGACAGCCCTCTCAGGCCAATCACGACCGAGCTGACGTCAGATACACCTCGTCAGGAGGTGAGGTCCGAAATCCGACGAGCGTGGATCTTATGGATGCCAGCTCCAGGCCACCGTCACCCAATCTGGCCCGTGCTCTCTCTCTCTCTCTCTCTCTCTCTCTCTCTCTCCACTCCCCAACCCGGCCACAGCGTTCGGACGAGAACCGAGGGCTGCTGATGTGGATGGGAGGAAGGGAATCAAGAAACTGGCGGGCGTGGCAACGGCAGGCTTTATTATGAACGAGATTGATTGTGTTCTGCGCTGGTGTTCTCAATCAATGATATACCTAGAAAGGAAAGAAAAATACCGATGCAGAAACATCATTTGGCAGGATCGATCAAGGAGGAATTATGCAAACGGCAACAAAACTTTGAATTTGTACACAACATGCAACAAGTTTTGCGCGGTATTTCGCACGGCTTTCTGCCAGGATGACAGCTCTCCCACAGCACAGACGATGCTTGGCTCCCAACACCACGACCTCCACCTCCCGTTCCTCGACCTTCTCCTTCTCTCTGAACCGCGCTCCCTGCACTCCCGCGCACACCTGCTCTTTTCTCACACCCTACCCTTCCTCTCCCAAATGAACCCATCATCAACAATTGCCCTGCCTCTGTAGGTGACGGACGATTGAGAAGACACGTGGAAAGCAGAGCAGAGAGCGGGAAAAAAAACAGAGAGAGAGGAACACGTAGGAGAGCGGAGTACACCGCGAGAGAAAGTGAGAGAGGGTGTGGCTCACAGCTCGGCGGCGCGCCTAACAGCGCGCACCCAACTGCCAATCTCAGAGAGAACAGGGTTAATTACCTGTGCGCACTAGGCGCAGCCCCCCCCCCGCCTTCTTCCCCTCCGCCACCGCTCCGCCACCCCTCCGCGCCCTCTCCGCGCCCTCTCCGCGGGCCCCTCCGCCTCCGCGTCAACCCGCCGTCGGTCGCTTCACAGTGTCGGCCGTCTGCAGTAAGAAGGGAACGACTGCGCTCGCTGTTACTCCCATTTGTGCCCAAAGCGAAGCTGCGCAGGCGGTAAAGAGGCGGCCGCGTTTGGGCACAGCTGCGCAGGCGGCAAAGAGGCGGCCGCGTTTGGGCACAGCTGCGCAGGCGGCAAAGAGGCGGCCGGGCGTCGAGGGGACGAGGCGGCGGCGGCGGCGGCGGCGGCGCGCCGGCCAAAAAGACGCACGCCGCAAAAAAGCATATGTGTGCGACACCTACGTGGGAATAACGAAACTGTGCGATAAGGAAATGGCGCGAATGCTGAGAGAAAAAGTCCCCGCCCATTCAGGGCGTCGCCACAGGACTCTCGAAATGTTTAAAACGAGAATGACTCGAAATGTTTAAAACGAGAATGAACTTCGTGCTACAAATCGCCAGATGCACCCGCCTCAATTTTGTCTTTTTCACATTTCGAGAGTGGTGTGGCGAGGCAGTCAATCGGGGAAGTTGACGAAACATTCCCGCCCGACAAGTAGAGTCATATGTGCGACACACCACGAGGGTTGCGTGCGGCGCGTGCGACCTCTTGGAGAGCATTGCGAATGAGAAGGCCACTGTGCGGCACGGGGTCCGAGTCCCACTGGCAGCGTTGATTTTTGTCAACGCCCGACTCTGGACGCGCGAACTCAACCCCATTTTCTGCACATCTCTAATGAACCTGTCCAGATTCATCCGTTGAGGAAACTCAACGATGCTCGTGGGACTCGGCACCCGCCGCCCACATTTCTCCCTCTCTTTCCCCGAGCGTGCCAAGCGCTGACGCCCGACCGCCCGGCATGCCTGGGCGCCAAGAGGCCCGAGCGCGCCAAGCTGCGACCGCCGGTTCATTATAGTTCCTTTTCGTCGATTTTGAAATCGACGGCTTGCAAAAAACAAAATAGAACGAGATCGACGGCTTTCAACGGAACCAGCTGCCAGCGCCGTGCAGATCATCGGCTGCTTTCAAGGATTGTTCTTCTCCGGTTCCTTTCAGGTTCAAAACCCAAAGGCGCCCTTCCGTTACGAGAAAGGCTGTCTTTTCGCCTAGTTTTACTTTCTTTTCGTTTTGTTTTGTTTTTTTCGTTTTTTTCTTGATAACTGGTTTTCACATGCAACGTGTTCACACGACGTGCATCGTTTTGTTTGAAAGGAGGTATAATATGCGAAATACCCCTATAAGTTAAGATAAGTGCCAAAATGCCCCTGAAAGATCTGGGTACAGCGGAATACTCCTCTGACACCAACAAATGCTTCGCGAAATGCCCTGGCGTCGGTTGGACCTGTCATCTTTGCAAAATACCACTACCAGGAACTGTCCGTGTTTGCAGAATGTCCCAGTACTTGCCAACTTCTCCCAGGCCTTTGTATTTTCGTTTTACCCCTAGTGGCCCAGCTCATCTTTGCGTTTTGCCCCCTCGCTGTGTGTTTGTGCGTATGAGAGAGAGAGAGAGAGACGGGAAGCCTGTTAGCAGGGCGGGATAGCCGAATAGCGAGATAGATAGATAGATAGATAGATAGATAGATAGAGAGAGAGAGAGAGAGAGAGAGAGAGAGAGAGAGAAAAAAGCGGGATAACTAGATAGCGGGAGTGGCACACGGCCCTAGTGGGAGGAGAGAGAGAGAGAGAGAGAGAGAGAGAGAGAGAGACAGACAGACAGACAGAGAGAGAGAGAGAGAGAGAGAGAGAGAGAGAGAGAGAGAGAGAGAGAGAGAGAGAGAGAGAG